CCTTGTCAAGCGCGCTATTGCACAACGATTATTGGCGGTCGAAGGGATGTGCGAGGGACCCACCTCAGCTGATTCTGAACTGGGAGCGCTGACAGATTGAACTACCCCACCGGTTTCAAATCGCCTGCGAAAGAACTTCAATATGGAAGCATCGGAGGGAGAGGACGTGAATGGCGATGCGCGCGGCGGCTCCGTTTCCCCGGAGGCACTGAACCAAAAGCGGACAGACGCCCGTGATCTCCGGCGTTCACCTTGCTGCGTTCGACAATGACCGAAGCGCACATCTCAGAGCACATTGCCCCCATCCGACGATGTGGAGACCCTCTGGCTTGCCTAGGATAACATATGCAGCAGTCATGGGGGAAACGACGTATCTCTGACCCCCGGATCCTCCCCGCCTCGCTCTACCCCTCACAACATGAATTTCTACCCGTGCTACAGTTCCTCTACCGCTTTCGCCCCCTCCGATGCCTCCAAGGCTTTCTCTCACGAAGACAGCCTGTCGCACTACGTGGCTACGTCTTCAGAGGACGTCTTCGCCGATCTTCCACTGTTAGCTTGTGACCAAGATTCCACCGGGTATACAGATGCGGAGTCGCTTCCGAGTCTAGAATCAGAGCTGGAGACGAACGAGAGTTTGTGGGTCCTTCTGCCTAAGTGATACATTTTCAAGTTACTCAGATAATGCTCCAGATTCCACGTCAACATCTCATAGACCGACGCTCATCTCACCGACGCATTCGTCCTCAGAACAGTGTCAACTTCCCCGGATCCCCTCAATACCCCGGCATATAGCTCATCCTGTTACCCCGCCTATCGCGCGATGTTTCAAGAATCGAGCGAGATCGCGACTCTCTGTGCGTCCCACCCACGCCCATCGAATCCCCTCTTTGAATACGACCTCGTACCTGCACTCGATGAAGACACCTCTTCCGAGTCCACTCGTGCACACGCCGCTGGCCTTCCCCATATTCCCATTTTGCCCCATCCAGAGCCGCTTCAAGCCCTTCACAGCGCTCCTAACCTCCTCGCACCACACCGCCTCAACGCCCCCGCGTCCTCCACTGCCGCCGCTCTTCTTCGTACGAATCGCTGGAAGTGCCCGGCACTGCTTGCACGTCCAGCGCAGTCATCGCGTGCCGCATATAATGCAGCAGATTGACACGCTCCAACGCGTGACGGACGTCGCAACTGGGCCCGTCTCGGGTTGCCAATTGAGTGCGCGATCGATGGTGGGGTGCCCGCGAAGATCGTGAGGGAGGAGCTGGTGTTGAATCTTGAAGGCAGGCTGATGATCCGAAGGTGTGAGGAGACGTGCTGTCGACGGAATGCGTTCATGAGGCATCTGAGGAAGGAGGAGGGGAGGTGCTCGGAGACGCGTTGGCGGACTGGCGGCCGGGAACAGGAAGCTGAGTTGCTCTAACTTCAGCTCTACCTCGATCACTTCAGCGGTGCCTCGATCACTTGACTATAACTCCCTGCCACACAATGCGATCGCATCCTGAGCACTCGCAATGCGGCGACATCGCAAGCACCCTATCCGTGGCACTCATACTCATCGAGCACCTTCGTCCTCCGCATATGATGTTGGACCCACCATTGACGAAACCTCGCCGCTTCATGCGCCATCACAAGATGGCCCGCGCGCGCAGCCGGCGGGCTGCCATCCCTCCCCTTACTCCTTCCCCTTCGCTTTCGCAGGCACTCCGGCAAGGCGCTACGGATGTCCTCGCGGCCCAACTCCGAAACGCTTCCGCGTCCTCCACTCCTGGCTTCCTCCGCACGCCTTACCGCTGATCCCTTCACGAAGTCTATCATTACATTCCCCGAAAGTTTAGAAGTGCGCGGTCTGTGGGCGGACTGTTTGTCCACCAATCGCACTGCGCCGGTGGTGCGGATGGACGTCGAGGGGCGGCGCAGGCGGAACACGCTCAATGCGTGATGAAATTATAGCCAGGCCGCGTCGCCGCGGCGTGCACAAGTACTGTAGAGCGGAAGGACTGACATGCGATGAATGTAGTTGTTGACCATAAGTACCGCTGTAGAAGCCACCGTTTTCAGGTTCAACGGGCCGGCAGAAAGGATGGAAGAACAGGAGGGCAGGATCAGCTGCAGGAATGCCACAAACGAGCGGGGGATGAGTAGAAGTCGACGTCGGTGACGTCAAATGTTCCCGTCTTCTATCTTGTGTGCCGGAGAGTGAGAGAAGCCCGCAAGCGTGAGAGGTCACCAATCAAAAGTGTTGCTCGTGGCGGCCAACTTGCGGCGACAACGCTGCAACCACACATTGGCCGCCAGGGAGGCACGAGGCAGATGGACACCGTGACAGGCATGACCAATACGTGCAGGAACGCGAACGTCCCGCAGGTGGCGTGTGCGCCAGGTCTCGGCAATGTGTGTTCACACATGTGTGTGGTCCACCTATCAAGTACCATGCTCATCACCTGTCCGTCCTCTCGCGGTTGCGCGCCTCGTCCTTAAGGCGAGAGCCCTATTAGACGCTTTCCTATGCTATATAGCACTGGATGGCTCCGCCCAAGCGCAAGGGAGTGCATAATCAGGGCGAGACATATCAGATGGGAGATTGAGTAACGGTTGAGGGAAAACGGGGAGGCAGCAGGTGAAAGAGTGAACGGATTTCCGGAATGCTATATGTTTAGGCATTAGGTTAGAGAAGAGTTGTAATGCCAACATAGACAGTGCTGGAGTTGAAAATTTGGTCGAGAGCAAGTAGATACTCTAATGTGCCAAGTTTCTAATATCAAGCCAGGACGAGGCCGGCGATATACAAGACGTCGCAACACAAGCGGTATTTGAAGCAAAGTATGCGGCCCGACTGATATCAATTCAGCGTAACACAGCCTCCGGAATCTTCTTCTCTGCATTGGACTGCTTGCCGGTGTGGCTTGGTTACAGAAGTCTGCTCGAGTACTTCAGGTATCTCCATTATGACACAAGTAGGGCAAACAAACAACTGCACCGGGTCAAAGACAACATGAGGAAGTGTATCAAGTCCAGCAAACCACACGGGCGGCATATGGACACAGGGCCGTGCCTTGCGTTGTAGCTGTACGTGCTACAGGAACTCCCCTTTCCTCTTCCCCTTGGAAATTAGCGCCCTTTAGATGATCCTCTGCCCACCCCCGGTCGGTTAAGGCTCGGATTGGGGTTGAATTTGGGTTCGAGCTTAGTAACAACATCATACCCCCAAGAGGGGAGGCCATCTGTATCAATTGCACGAACAAGTGCCGGCGTGAGTTGAGGGAGGGTGTGACAGGTCTGTGGACGATGCCCACGACGCCGCGACTTGTCAATACGAGAAGGTCAAGAGCACCGCTACTGACGCTGCCCACAAGGTTCCGCAGTAACAAAGTAGGAGGCTCAAAGCTCTCAGAGCTGGTAAAAAATACGGAGGCTACACAAGCATGGAGGAGGCTCGTGAAGAAGAAGAGACAGAGGCAGGCGAGGCAACAAGATGGGAGTGGGCAGGAGAGGAGGAAGGATACGTCGAACGTCGAGGATCGTCAAAGGACGCTGGAGACGATTGATGTCTCGACGAGATGGATCGGGACGCGGACCCTATAGTGGCTGCAATGCAGTGCGCGGACGACAGAGAATATTTGCAACTGGCGCTGACTGCTCATGCTGTTTTGCTGGCGCTCACTCCTCACTCCTCAGGCTGCCCGACTATAAATCTCGCGCACTCCTGGAAGATGGGCACCAAACACAACCCAAGTCACACATTCTCGCCCGCAAACAACATCCTCTTCATCCGCTGTGTTACAGCTGGGCACTATCCATGTAGAAGTTCGAGGGCAAGCGGGCGCAAATGGGATTCGCGTTTGGCCGGTGCAAACGCGTGCCGTACATAGTACATACAATAGACCTTATATACACAGTAGAATAGGGGTAGATAAGGGCGCGGGTATCCGTCGGGGGGCGGGACCTGTGGCGCTCGTTCCGCGAGCTCGCCATCTTGACGCCAGGATTCCAACAATCCACTCGCAACTTTCGGCCCTATACTTACTCTAGGCGTCTGCGTGCCAGATTAATGTCCCAAAGTCACGTGACGAGCCAGGAGGGCCAAGGCCATATATGGGTACGCGTCCCAAACTCACACATAGGTCAGGACCTCTGATTGATAGCATGAGGACATGGGATTGGTAGATGCAGTGAACAATCTACTTGCATCGCATGCCCATACAGCCCCTGGGTTCGCGTCCTTCCATGACCCGACCTCCAATTCAGGTCTGCAGCTGCTCAGCCCGGCGATGCAAGCTCCATCAGTGCCCAACGCCTGGTCAATTTCCAGTTCGAACATCCGACATACACAAGTGGGTAGCGAGTATGCTCTTCATCTTCATATCCTGACTCCGCGTCTGTGTAGCCAACTCCGTCGGCGAGCCCCAGGCCTTCCCAATCGCGTCATCGACTCACCCGGATGAGAGCGCTAACAAAAAGCAGAAACGTCGCTCTTCTCGCAAGGCTCATCCGTACCCTAGAAGTCAGTCCAGCCGCAAGAGTGTCGAGACGGCCGTGAGTATGGTTGGCTCCAGTCTATGCCCCAGGGATACTCACCTCGCGATCGCTTTTGTCTCCCAGTGTGTGCACTGTCGTGATGCCGCAAAGCGTTGTTCGGTCGAACGTCCCTGTATGCGCTGCACCGTAAAGGGCCTGGGCGACAGTTGCGTCGATGCTCCGAGCAAACGGGCCAAGAAGCGCTCTGTGGACGTCGAAGGCACTTCCATGGGCGGCGGAGGGTTACAGGGCGGAGCGAGGTCTTATGGTGAGTCATGGCTAGGTTAAGGAAGCTATGTGTATGTGCAGTTGACTCACCGCATATGCAGGGGGCGCGGTCCCATCTGAAGCGCCCGCTCAGACCTACGTAGCCCCTTCGTTCGCAAACGAAGAGACAACCATCGGTACTGCTATCACAGCACCAACGGCTGTTGCAGCTCCAGTCCCCGCACATGGAGTTACATTCCACTACGAGGGTGGATGGGGACCCGCAGGGTACATTGGCCTACCGCCGACTACTGGGCAAAACTTCTCGCCCACAGATGACCTCAGCGGCTTCACTGGCCACGCTCAACTTGGCGCAGATACCCTGTCGTTTGCATACAATCCCGTCAGCGACGACTTCTTCGGCGGTCAAGCAGGGACGACTTACCTGGACAACTCCCAAAACTTCGACGTCCCATACAATTTTACCGGAAACACATTCTTTGCTGGCGGTCAGGAGGCTCCCTATTGATAATAAAGACTGCGGGACGCGTCCCGATAAGAAGAAAGGTAATCATGACTTGTCTCGTGACGGTGTTGTTGCAACGGACTGACCTCCGGCATTAGATTTCCCAGGACTTGGATTGGACTGTGTTGCGCCGCTTTGCTTCTTTCCTCTTGATTTGTCGCCTTGCTATGGAAGTCAACGTCTGCTCTGTATCTCTGAGTAACTTAATGCGCTGTCTCTGTTGTGCTGTGCACGTCTCTGATTACCTCCGAAATACCCGGCTGTCCGTGTATGCCATACGCTTTGCTAGTCTGTACCGGTACGAATAGCATTTCCACCCGCGCGGGTGTCTCATGTCGTGAATGAGAATGCGAGTGCGGCTTTTTGCCTGTCACATCCTATACGTAGAAGGGGGCGCGCTCAAGCCGCCTGCCTTTCCTATATGCATTGATCAGATCAGCATATGCTTTGAGATCGCGGTAAACATATACGATCCGCGTCCGAGCGAGACTCACCAACCTGTACCAGTAACTTCCATAGCTCTGTCGCGGCGACTAGGCGCGTAGACTCGGGTCGACGTTCGGCGACGACCCCGTAGGCGAGCGGCAAGGAGCCGAAAGGGGAAAGAGAGAGGGAGAGGGATAAACGTGACAGAAAACTCGACGAGGGCAGAGCGGAGGTCGGCACGAAGGCACGAGACCTACGAAAGCTAGTCTTCACGCAGACAGCGACAGACTAGTCCCAATGACCAAGTTATACATTAGCACTCGAAGGGAAGTACAACGCTATGGTCACTCACCTAGTCCCAATGACCAAGAGGTCGAGATGGGGACTAGGGAGCGCCTAAGGGGGTCCTTATATACTAGAGGGGCTGCTTAGCAACCAAGGACAAGGCGCGAGAGCGAGGCAGTGAAGATGACAAAGAGAGAACAAAGGGCGAGAAAGAAAAGGCAAGGGCATGGCGATCACGGGAACGTAGCATGCGGCTGTGGGAACGTATCTACAGTGTCCAAATTGGGATGGGCTAGAAAA